GGGGGGGTTCTGCCCCCCCCGTTCCGGAGCCACCAAACCGACACCGCGTGGGCACAAGAAGTGGTTTAATGCCAACCCTGGGGGGGAGGGGCGAAGAGCCCCGGGGAGGGAATCCAGAGGTGGTCGTGCAGGGGGACACCGGCACACGGCCCTCGGGGGACCCCCCTGGGGATCCCCCGCGGGTGCCCGGGTCCGTGGGCACGCAGAGGCGGGGGGGCGGCCCCCACAAAGGGCCCAGTGTGCGGGACAAGGGCCGCCCTGTGCCGCTGCCGCCGCGTTCCCCCCGCGCTGGGGCACCCCCCCAGCGCCTCGGGGGGAGGGGGCCGGGGGTCCCCAGCCCGGCCCCGCTGGCCGGCGGCGGGTGCGGGGGTCCCCGGGGGGGCTCAGGCTCCGGGATAACTGGGCTGTGCCGGGGCGTAGGGCGGGGGTGCTGCGGGGGGAGCACACGGGGGGGTCACCCCCTGCCAGCCCAGCGGGCCCCCCGCGGGACGGGGGAGTCCCCGCGCCCCCCCCGCTGCTCACCTGTGGGGTTGTAGACGGGGGGCCCCGAGGGGTACACGGGGTACTGGGCGGGCCCGGGAGGGGGGTACATGGCCATGGGGGTGAAGCCGGGCTGGGGGGGCGCGGGGCCGGCTTTGGGGTCCACGGGGAACGGCGCCGGGGGGGCCGCGGGGGGGTAGCTGGACAGGGGGATCTCCGGGCCTGTGGGAGAGATGGGGGGGGCTGCGGCACCCCGGGCACGGCGGCGGTGCCCGGGGGTGTCCGTGCCCCTCGGGGGGCGGGTGGGCACTGGCGTGGTACCAACAGCACCCCCCACATCCCCAGTGCCCGAATCTCCACCCCTCCCCGCATTTCTCCAGGTCCCACAACCTCGGTCCCCCAAGTCCCCACACACGGTACCCTCAGGACCCTCCTGCCCTCCCCCATCCCTGCAGCTCCCCCCTCCTGTACCCCAACCCCCCTGCACCCCTCCAGTCCCCCCCCAACCTCCCCCTGCGCCCCTCCAGCCCCCCCCAACATCCACCCACCCCTGCACCCCCCCGCACCCCCAATTACCCTCTCCATCCCTCCAGGCCCCCTCAACCCCCTCTGCCCCCCTGGACCTCCAGGACCCTCCTGCACCCCCCTCCTGCACCCCCCATCCCTCCAGACCCCCCGAACATCCGAAATCCCTCCTGCTTCCCTCCAGCCCCCCCAGTTCCTTCAGGACCCTCATACACCCCCCTTCTCCTGCACCCCCCACTACTGCACCACCTCATCCCTGCATTCCCCCCCACCCCCCAATTCCCCCCACGC